TTTCCACCATTTTTTTGTTTTGTTTTGTAGTCTTTCTGGTTTTGCGAAGTTAAAGATTTTTTCTATTTCTCCAATTTTTATTCACAGGATTGGGAACGACATTTTTCGATTATTGCACATAAAAAGGATTTTACCCCGACTGACACATGCGAAAATCTTTTTTCTTCTAAATCACAACCTTAAAGGTGGGATTTTTTTTCTTTCTTCTTCATAAAATAAAATAAACGATCCGGAAGTCGGTAAGGCCGTTAAGGTCTTTTCTGGACGCCACTAAAAGGAGAAGAAAGCAACAAAATAAATAAAAGTCGTGAAAAAGAAATATTAAAGGAAAAAAAAAAGATATTTTCCGCTAAATCTAAAAGAAAACAAAAATTCTTCATAACTTGAAAAGTCTGACCTCATATCATTGTCACTGAATTTTTACATGAGGTTACACAGTATACACAAAGTGGATTATTGGTTGATCTGTCCGCAAAGAGAACTACTGAAGAGACAATGTTCGGTCTTTGAGGTTGCCAAAAATGAATCAAGATTATCGAGTACACAAAATTATAATCACTGTTGAGTTTAGAGGTTAAATTCTTCAAAACTGTAAAAAAAAAAAAAAGAAAAAGTGAGAGACACCCTTTCATATTTACTGTCGATTCGTGAAGACTGTCTTGCCCAACGAATTTTGATTTTCCTCCGTCATTTCTGGTTAATTAGCCACCACATATCAGATATTAGAGAGTTAAACTGTCTTAGTTAGGCTTGCTTTTACTAATTGTTTACTCCGTACAATGCCCAAGAGCCACTTAAGGTATAGGCTTACAAAATTAGGTTCAATGAAAGTAAGTTGTGTTCGTATGAAGTGCTGGCTATGAGAATACGTAGGAATAACAGCTGACCTTTGACTTTTACGTGTTTAAGATTGTAGCGAGGGGAGAATCATTCTCTCTTAAGTCTGTTCCACAAAACAAAGTTCTTAGCGAAAAGGTTCTTCTTACTAAAAGAATACGAAAGGAATGAATATTATTTGTTCCATCATACCTGATCTGACGGGTTTTAGCTGTGAAGTTCTGAACTAGTGTATTTAAAGAATGAATGTACCGTGTTGCTGGGGGAGGGTCAGTCAGGAGGGTGACGTCATGAAGTGACTGGTCAGTAAACAAAATTATTCTCCTGCACACACACACACACACACACACACACACACACACACACACACACACACACACACACAAAATAAAAATCTTTTTCCTCAGCACGAGTTACGTTTCATTTCTTTTGTCAATTCTCTTTTAAATTACTGTCCCAATTTCTGGGATGAGGCGTTATTATTATTTGCATTATATACACTCGGACTATTGTCCGAATTTTTGTTATCACTTTTCAGCCGCTAAGACACCCGGCCTTCATCAGGTGTTTGTTGATCCGGGTAACCTTTAGGGAATTATGGACTGAACACTTTATTTGATCTGCAGCTGGTAGATTGTTCTCTTCGCGCTTGTTATGCTTAAGGATCTCGAGTTTAGTTCTTATTTTTAGTAATGTCCGTTTATTGCTCACCTTGTTTCTGCATTACTCGACCCAAGATCATATTTAAACTAACACAGAAATATGTGATTATTTGTCTATTTGTTATTATTATTATTATTATTATTATTATTATTATTATTATTGTTGTTGTTTTTATTTTCTTTGATTTCTGGCGTTTACACATGTCTTTCCGGGTCCCGCCCAGGGACCTAAGTTTTGAAATGGCATCATGACACTTTCCACTGAGAAAAAAAAATGATTGATAAAGCCCTTCGTAAAGTGTGGGCTGTACGTGTCAGGACAATTTTTTGTATCTCCTTGAGGCATGGACTTCCAGGAATCCCTTCAATTAGTCTACTGCAATCTTTTCCAACCAGTCCTAGGGCTCCAACTACAACAGGGCTTGTTGATGTTCCCATATGCCACATTTTCGAGATTTCTATTTCAAGGTCCTTGTATTTTCACAGCTTTATGGGTCCCAACCGGACACCTAAGGTCAGAAATGGTACCTGATTCGGTGAGGCGTGTAGGAAGAAGGTAGGATACAGACCTTTTTTTCACATATCCCCTAGAAAAAAAAGCAAATATCGACAAATTTCCAAATCAGGTGAACACACTGTCATTATCACAGGTATACAACCTCCATCTTTCTGGTAGATTCTCGTTGAGACAAGTCCACACAAACCATTAACTGCAAGAAGACAAACTTATGGTCAGCAGCAAGAAATAAAAAGGCCAATGTGCAAAATACAAAATGGAGATATAAACATGAAGCAGGTGCAGAAGTTCAAATATGTAACACCGAGATTGCAATACGAATTGGGCTAAAAAAATGCATGTCCGAAATAGCACAATGAAATCAAAATGAAAAAAGGAGAAATATCAAAGATCAACTCAGGCTGACATTGATATCTAATGATGGTCGGCGACGAGATTGTAGCCATCATTAACTTCACGTTTTCAGTCCGAAATAGACACATATATACATAAGTACATACACATACATACGCAATTATATATATATATATATATATATATATATATATATATATATATATATTTGGTTGGATAGATGTGAGTTTGTGACCCTGGGTTTCACGCTTTAGCGATCGTCTGTCTGACGATCGCTAAAGCGTGAAACCCAGGTCACAAACTCACATCTATCCAACCAAATATGTTAGCTCTATCTCTGATATTGAGCGCTTTCTAATAAGTACTGCGTATATAATATATAAATAATTATACATATATATATATTTATTTATTTATATTTATATTCACTTTTCATATATATATATATATATATATATATATATATATATATATATATATATACACACACACATATATATATGTGTGTGTGTGTGTGTGCGCGTGTGTTGTTACCAGTAAGATGGAGGTTGCATACCTGTGATAATGACAGTGTGTTCTTGAAATGACCGCCACGTTCACCTGATTTGGAAATTTGTCGATATTTGTTTGTTTTTTCTAGGGGCTATGTGAAAAAACAGATCTATATCCGACCTTCTTCCTACACGCCTCAGCGAGACGCAGGAGAAAGTTACGCAATACATGCTTCAGCGTGTTTGGCAGGATCTGGACTACCGACTTGATGTGTGTCGTGTTACAGGTGGTGAGCATATTGAACATTTGAACCGATCATTTTCCAGTGTGTTTAGCGATATATCGTATGTACGAGCTCCACTTGAGGTCCAGCTTGATTTTAAGGATTCTATACGCGTTGAAGGTGAAGAAGTTTTCACTGAATGTACGTGAGAGATTCATGGAATATTGCAGTTTAAAGACAGTAAATTCGACCTTGCTAACCGAACGCTCCTCTGTAGCTAAATCAGTTAAGGCACGTCAAGCTAAATGAACAGTTCCGTATAGGATACAGGTTCGAATCCTGTCGGAGGACGAATATTTTCTATGAATATTTCGCGACATTCAGGCCAGTAAATGTTGTTTAATACTGTTTATTATAAAGAGAGCATTTACTTAAATATTTGTATCTATAAAAAGAATGTATAAACATAAAAAATGTCTTAAAATAATTGTCGAACTTTTTCCATTTCATAATATATATATATATATATATATATATATGGCATCCGCCGATCTGCGCTCAAAGTGTTATGCCTCAGCTGCTGATGGAAATGCATCATCTGTTATATGAGGGTTCACACACGAGTGATAGTCCGGGTTGCAACGAATGCATCTCCCCCGATATCATCGTGTTGTTTTCTGACGATTGCGTTTAAGTATGGAACAGTTCATCGCCTCTGGGTGTTAACCTCAATGTTTACTTGTATACATGCATATATATATATATATATATATATATATATATATATATATATATATATATATGTATGTATGTATGTATGTATGTATGAACAGAAGTAGTGTCAACGCAGAATTCAACGCCGAATGTCGAAAGTGTTCTTTATGCATGAACCCAATCTTCAAACTCTTTTTCTCTATATATTTGTTTCTCATTTGTCTTTTTCTTTGTTTCTCCCCATTTCTTTCTCCATTTTTCTCTGTATTGTTCCTTTCTCTGTCTTCATTTTTCTCTCTCTATCTCTCTCTCTCTCTATATATATATATATACATACCACCACACAAAGCAAAAACGACAAAACATCATTCACCATTTTACACTACTCGACCTAAAGAAAAACAGTCGAACCTTTATGCCTGTAGTAAAGTTTTCTTCAATGCAACTTGATTACTGCCCATAATTAATGTCGTCCTGGGTGTGATGATAAACTACACCCGGCAGCATGTCTTCTAATTGAGAGATTGAAAGTTTTGAGGTGTGTAATTTTTAATTAATAATTCTTAATTGTTGTTGTTCCCAGCTCCACCCTGACTCGAGGTGGTAGCATTTGTTATGGCACATAGTGAAACCCCAAATAAAAATCAAAAAGACTAGGATAAGTGTTAAAATAAGGATAAAAACTCTTTTATAGTAAAATAATAGGAATACATTTTTATATAAATTTTTTTATCAAAAATCCATTTTTGTAGTGAAATTACCATTATTACAGTTTAAAGCAAAATGGCCAACAATACATTTTTATATTAGAATTACCATGAATACATCAATTGGCAAAAAATGTGGGAAAAAAAACAATTTGCTTTGGTTAATTTCATTTCTTGAAAGTAAAAAAAAAGTTTTCACTGCTCGTTTGATTTTGTAAGTTTATTTGGTGAAAGAAAATGCAGCAAAGTAATTATAATTTGATAATGGATGACCTCATTCTTTTGAATTAATTATAAATTTGATTTTTCAGATTTAGTTTTCAGCATTAAATAAAACGTACGCGTTGATTCCCCACTAAACAAAAACAATCAACCAATCAATCTCAATCTCTCTCTCTCTCTCTCTTTATATATATATATATATATATATATATATATATATTTATATAATGAATACATATATATATGTATATATATACATATATAAGGAATACACAGATAGATAATCACCATGCATATAGATACAGAGAGAGGTTTGAACAGAATGATATAGATAGATAGATAGATAGATAGATAGATAGATAGATAGATAGATAGATGTCAACACAATGAGAGAAAGATTTGAAAAGAATGAGATAGATAGGCAGATAGATAGATAATTGGCACGCGGATAGATACAGAGAGAGATTTTAACAGAATGAGATAGACAGATAGATAGATATCTCCTTCTTGAACGCAATTCCTATTTTATGCATTATTGAATTATTCTGCTCTTGTTTTAATTCCAATTTCTGCGTCTAGGTTGCGTTTTCTTTTCCCTTGTTTCTTTCCTTTTAGTCTCTCTCTCTCTCTCTCTCTCTCTATCTATCTATCTCTTTTCTCTCTCGATCTCTCCCCCTGTATATATATATATATATATATATATATATATCGCCTTCTTTTACTCAATTCCTATTCCAGATTTATGCATCGCTCAATTATTTGGCTTCAATACTCTCACCCTAACATTAGCATTGATGTTTTATTTCTTTCCCGCTGTTTTCCTTTTTTTCTATCAACCCACTCTCCTACTCTCTCTATTTCTCACTCTCTCACCCTTTTTCTTTCCTTTCCTTCTTTCTTTCAATCTCTTTGTGTACCTCCTCCTTTTTTGCCCAATCCTGTTACGGCCTCATGCAGTGCTTCAATGTTCTAATCCTCATGTCAACATCGGTGTTGTTCTCTTTCTTTACGATTGCCATCTAAGCCTTCAACTCGCTTCCGTTCTGTATCTTCAGTGACAACTTGGTTGATTTTAAATAAATAAAAATATAAACTTTCATACAAATCGCCAAGTTTGTTTATCCGCAATTACTTCCTAAGACGCACATAGCAAATTAAATATGGCCGCCTTATGGCCTTCTGAAGGTATGAGATTAAAACGAGTGAGAAAAATACATTTTAAACACAAGTTTCTGGAATTAAAGGAGATTAGATATTAAATAACAATTCACTTCTATTTTCTTTGTTTCTAAGAATATTTTCTCATCTTTATCCTTACTTTATTTTTTTTGGAAAGATTATTTCTCTATTCTTATGCGATTTTCGTTTTCTTTGGCTATTCTTAAATGCTTTGTTGTTGTTTTTTTTCCTTTGTAGCGATGAATAGATGCCCTCACTGGGAGACTACGTGCCTTGAGAGACTATTAGTTCTCAAACTGGGAGCTGCCGAGTTCTCACTTTCCAGTTTCAATAGATAGAGCTCAAAAACGTCTCAGAGTCCTTGCAGATGACAAATTAATTTCATTTCTCCTATCGCTTCCTCGCAGGCGGGGTTTAGCAAGCTTCCCACTTCTCTATCGCTACTTTAATGAAAAGTCCGCGGACGAACTACATTCCTCAGTTCCGTCAGTTAGAACCAGGAGCCGCCATGCAACTCACATTGTAAGAAAAAAGCTCCATTCCCTCCGCATTCCATCGATTGACATCTTAGAAGCGTAACATAGATGTGGTACAATGCCGAAATTATGGAGCACACAGTGAGGATCGAACTCACTGATAATTGATCTAGCCATAAAAGTCCTCAAGGACACATGGCACAGTGGATAAAGGCGTTAGTTAGATCCAGTGACAGGACCTAAACAGTGTGAGTTCAATATCCTGTTAAGGCAGTGGAGAACTTTGCGAGGGAAATTAACAGGAGATAACTGATAACTGACATGGCACCTGGAACTAGAACAGTCTACAGCAGTGAGCGAAATAAAGGGTTCAGTTCGACATTCCAACCACCTGAAGAAGGCCGGAGCGTACAGCGGCCGAAACGTTGTAATAAATATGGCGACAAAGATGAAGACAATAGTCCGAATAATGTAAATAATGTACATAATACCTCATCTCAGAAATATAGACAGATACCATAAAAGTTTGCCAACTATTTCAAAACGTCGAAGTGCCAACCGGATTCCATTGGTGAGAATTAAGTTCCACTCGAACGGCTTTTTTCCGTGTAGCTCTGCTCTTTGGAACCGACTCTCAAGATAATGTTTTCCCGATCACTACAATCTTAACCTGTTCGAGTCTTAACCTTTATCTTTCCCTCCTTCCATTATAAACTGCCTCTTACTCTAAGTTCTACATCGAGTGTCTCGCTGGCCTTGTACCGGGTGTACTTCTCTGTAAAAAATCCATTGTCAGTTACGACAAATAATAGATAAATTTCTTCAACTGCATCAATATGCAGCTCACACATTAATCGCACTCGCTTATTCATGATTTTGTATTCTGTATTAGAATAAGTATGCATTACTGTCTTAGTGATATGCACTATAAAGTAAACTGGCAGTTGATCTGCAAAATGAGCTCCAATCAGTTGTTAACTGGGGCAACATATGGCGTATTAATTTTAACGCCATCAAAATTAAACTGCTCTCATTTAATCGTATTAGAGAACCGTTTTTTTTTGTCTTCCATCAATCATTGTCAGTGTAAATCATTGCACCACCTCCCTCTAAATATATCCACTAAGCGGAATTGGAACGACAATATTGAATCAATTGCTAGGACTGATGCATGAAAATTTGGTTCACTGTCTCGAGTCCTTGGAATTTCTCTCGCTAGAATCTGATTTGCAAGTTTTTAAGTCTGCCGTGAATCGAATATGATTGCTACATGTGATCGGGTGCTTCTGATGTGCATCTAAAAATTCTTGGTACAATCCAAAGAAGAATAAGTCATGTTACCACTTTAGTTAATTTCCCACTGCCGTAACATAGGTTCCTCGAGTCTTTTCTATAAATATTTTTATGGAAGGTTCTCTGATAGATTTTTGTCTATAATGCCTTGACTTCCTACATTTAAGCGCAGTACTAGATTGACAGTTAGGTCTAATAATTGAACAATTCTAGATGTAACAGTCAGTTATATGCTGATATTTTTTCCTCACGATTGCTGATCTCTTTTCGAGACTTTTGCTTTTTTGTCAATTATAATATAAAATTTAACGTCAATCATCATCTGCTTTCTACAAGAATCCTCTTCTTTTCTTTCTTCTCCCTCGATAATATTTTCTCATATTCTTTTACTTTTAGCAACACCTTGCGTTATAGTGGCTTCATCGCCTTTCATGGGATGAAATGTTTAAAAAAAATAATATTCTTTTCTTTTTTTTTAGCTCGCCTGATTTCAAAACGCTTACCATTTAAGTTTTTGTACAACAAAAATATAGGATATTTTTAAAGCGTACATCATTCTAAGATCATTCATTTTTTTTTATTTTATCTATATTGCTCTATTTTCTTCCAGCTACTTATTAGATCCTCCGAAAAATAATAACCGATTTTAGAAAAAACATTTTAATATAATATAATAGTTCTATAAAAATATATATTGCTCATTCCTAATAATAAATAGGGTCCCACTTCGTTGATCTCTATCTATAAAAGGCAGGATATGTGTGTGTGTGTGTGTAACGAATGCACGGCCGCAATTTTCGACAGATTTGCACCAAAATTTACATGCACATGCTCCAAGTTAGCGGAAAGGCTAAGATCGATTTTGCATTTCCTAACTCCCATCGATAAGGAAATAATCGATTTTTTAATGCTTCTACGGCAGTTTTCATGTAGTTTGCGGCCATTTTCTACTGGCCAGAGTGAGAGCCTATAGCTGGCTGCCACGAATAGGCAGGAAGATTCTATTGGCCAGCGTGAGAGCCAACAGCTGATTGACACGAATGTTAACTAGCATGCAAAAAAATCGATAGTTGCATTCGTCACAAGTGGGAAAAATTTAAATCTGGATGGCACTTTACTCCAATTGGCTGATTCGCTTGCTTAAACTCAACGTTGATTCTGATTCCGCAGAACTGGGTTGGGTGTGAAAAAGTATTTGTTGTTAACATTCTTTTTTCATTCGGTTTTTCCAGTTATGAGTCCTTTTTTTAAAGCTGATCGTTTTGTGTTCATTTTGTTTAGTTCTTTTTTCGTAACAGATTTAATGTTTAGTATAGAGCTTAGAAAAATTTGCAGTGTGAGATAGGCAAAAAGTAAGGCATGTAGCAACATCAGCACGGAAAAGGGCACTCCTTTAAAGGAAAGGAAGGGCAAAAATATTTTAAGTCAAGTGATAGCGATTGTTGTATGAGTCGTACGATTTTTGAATCAAGCACGGGCAACGCCTGGCCATGCTGCTAGTTTTATATAAAATGTTTAGAATGCAACTTAAAACAATATTTATTGCGTGTCTTGAATATGAAAAAAAAATTCAAACCTGCCCATAATGCTTCTGAAACTGGTGCCAAAATTAAAAGTGCAGTGGGTGAAAGTGCCACTTGTGACACGACAGTTCGTTGCTGGTTTCTGAATCTTCGTAATAGAGATACGAGTCTTGATCGTCAAAATGATAGAGGACGTCCATTTGCAATTGACAACATCTGAAAACATTCGTCGAACAAAAACGACGTCAAGGTGTCAGAGAACTGTCTCAGATAATAGGTGTTAGCATTTTAACAACATCGGAGCACATCTCAATAGAATTGGTAAAGTGAAGAAACTCAATAAAACTCCATTTAAACTCACTGAAAATCAAAGAGTTCAAATTGTTAGATGCTGCCTCTGCAAAATAGGAATGATTCTTCAAGACAATCGTAAACGATCAACTCAAAAACTAGATCACAAAGAAACATTGAAACCCTTTCCAAAAAGCAAATTGCACCAACAAAAAATATGTCTGTCTGGTGATTAGGCAGTTGACGTTATCTACTGCAGATTTTTGGAATCTGACCAGAGTATCACTGGCGAGGTTTACTGACAGGCGCTGATTAATAGACGAGATCCAATTCTGCTTCGTGACAATGCTTAGCAACAAGTTACCAAGATGACACTTCAGAAACTCACCGACTTGGAAGATGAGACTTTTCTTCATCCAACATATATCCGCTGATCTCCCGCCGAATGACTACCACATTTCCAAGAATTTTGACAATTTCTTAAGTCGAAAAACGTTGTGTTGCAAATAAGATGCCAAAATTGTACTCAAAGACTTCTTTTGCTCTTTTATCATATGGCAGAAATAAACATTTAATCCGATGTCAAAAAAAAATATATATATATATATATATATATATATATATATATATATATATATATATATATATATATATGTATCCAGGGTTTCTATTTAGACTGATTTAAACACTGGAATAAAAATTAATTCTAAAATCGAACATTATTTTTAGAAGAAACTAATATTTTCTTGACATCATCT